GAATCCAAAGCCTTCTTTACTGCTAAACACTTTTTTTCAACAGTGGCATAATTTACTTCATGGGACTACAATTTCCTGCCCAGGTAATTGACAGGGTGTTATTCCCCCTTGAAAACCTGTGATAATACAGAGCTCAACTGTTAGGGATCCGGGTATGACCAGAGGTGTGTGGACTGACACAGGGAAACGCAGACTTCAGATAAGGTATAATAATAATATTTATTATTAGCTGCACAAATAAACAAACACAGTGCAAACAAGCTAACCTTAAGCTAATAGGTACACAGTGCAAACAAACAAACAAACAAACCAATAGGTACACAGTGCAGTCAGGGCTGGAGAGGTGGAGTGGTCAGGCAGGCCAAGCCCACAGCACAGATTTCCTCAGGGCGCGGGGTCTAAGTCCCAGCCTGCTATTCACCAGGGCCCCTGATGGTGAGGATGGACTTGCTGCAGACTGGAACCAGGTCGCGACCCAAGTGCATCCGGCTGTGGTAGAGAGTGCTGGCAGGTCCAGGTCCAAGCGGGATGGATGGATGACAGTCAGGAGCGACGTGGTCAGACTAGCCGGGTCAGTAACGGTGGGGACAGGCACGGTACAAGCAGCAGACAAGGGTAGTCAGGTCACACGCCGGGTTCAGTAACTCACGGGCAGCACGGTACAGAGGATCAGGCAGAAGGATGGTCAGGGACGAGCCGGAGGTCAGAGCAGGAGAATGTCAGCATGGATCAGAACAGGCAGGACCGGCAACAAGGAACGCACTACAGGAACACAGGAATCAGGAACACAGGTTTACAAGGTACAGGGGCCCATGGAAAAACACACACCAAGGCCCAGACTGCAGGTCTGGCCATCCCTTAAATACACCTCCGTAATCAGCTTCAGGTGTTTGGCTGACTGCAGGGTTGAGTCTCTGATTGCTGAGAGCACCCGCTGGCCAGCCCTGGTACTGCAGCCCACAAGGCAGGTGAGTCCCACCATTACTGGCAAGTCCATTCCTGACATCAACCTAACATCTGACGTATCCATCTGGACCACAATCTCCATCAAGAAGTCAGGAGAGTACAACACTAGCTGACCTCACAAGGCCTGTGTTACATACCTTGGTTAAAGGCCAAGTTGACAAGAGAGCTTATCTAGTCTGAGCACCCATGAATGTGGTCACAGAGGTACAAGGCTCAAAGAAGCATGGGTGCTTGTAGCTTGATAGCAGATGACTGCCACGGTAAGGGACGTAGTCAAGGTGAGCTAGAGCCATACATGGTGAGACAGCAGCATGGTCAGGAGACAAGCTGGGGTCGGTACCAGGGAAGCAGGCAGAGCAAAGTCCAGTAGCAAGCTGACTCAACACCAGGAGATCAGGCAGAGGATAGTCAGAGGCAAGCCAAGGTTAGAATCCAGAATCACAGAGCAAGGTCAGGAACAAGCTGGGTCAGTAACAGAAGATCAGTCATGCATAAGCAGGAACACAGGAACATGGGAGCTGAAGAACATCCAGCAATTAGCACACAGTAGGGTCTTCTTTAAATGGGCAGCCTAGTTTATCTGTTAAAAAAAAATAGGCAGCCTGAGCCAACGTCCAAGGATGTGCACACCGATGCCCTCTGGTGCACACAAATGCGCCTACGTGTCAGTACACACTGGATATTAGCCTGAGCTCATCTGTGTGCTGGTACATGCGCACAAGCATTAGCTGAACAGGAATGAGCATTAACTGTACTAGTATCCTGACAGTCTGTTCCAATGTCTCACAAGCTGATTCTGTTTCAGGAATCCACTTGATCATGACAGATTCCTTTCCTTTTGTCAAATTGGTCAAGAGAGCAGTCTGTGAAGGCAAAATATGGAATAAAACACTGATAATAGCCAGTGATCCCTAAATTTTCTAGAACCTGCTTCTTGTTGGTGGAATGTCAGGGAATGCCTGAAAATAATTTAGTCAGCTAAATTGAATGAGCTACAGTGCCTCCAATACAAAGATAATTTCTAAAAATAATTTAAGTTATTTTGCCAATCAAAATTTTTGAATAACCCAAGAACTGTGTAAGTAAAGACTACACACTATTGAAAATGAATGAATATTTATTTACAATAAGTCACTTACAAACATCATAAATAATAGTCAGATTGGGATATGCATAGACACTAAGACATTTGCATAGTTCTAAAATTGTCTGTAACTACAGAATATATATAGTGAATTAAATTCAATAATTAATTTCCCCTCTTAGATAACATAACCAATGATAACTACTTAGTAGACAATAATCTGCGTTTTACAGAATTCAACTGCTATTCTCCTGCAGAAAGAATAAGTGTCAAAATACATAGAAGTGTGCATCAATACAGCTCAAGAAAAGAAAAATAATAAAAAATAAATAAAAAAAAAACAATTAACCTAATTCTAGTGGCTATATTATCATGAGAGAAATGCTACAGCAAAAGTTATCTCAATTGGCCTATTCATTTAAGCAAGCAAAAACCACCAAAGAGAATAATACATTATATACACCCGCCAAGAATACCAGGTAGGCTTTTAGGTGGCTGATGACCAGACCCAAAGATGGCTGCCGATTAATTTGTGGAGTTTGTCTTACCCAAAATGGTGTCTAGCTATGTTGAAGCTGTGTGTCCTAACTTCAATGAAGTTTCAAATGATGGCGAAGTCTGATAATGTGTGACTTGCAATCTTACGGAATAGCAGACAATACACTCATAAAATTAAATGCAGAGGGTGTAATCATCAACCCTGTGTTTAACTATGTATTAACTCACTTTGCCACAAGATGGCACACAAGTACCAGAATGTCTAGCCTCAGTTTTCTAGTAATTAACCCTTATATAATATTTTATTTTCCTTTATGGCTACTATGGTGTCCGTTTATGAACCAGCGGTAAATGATCGCTGCTCAGTTCTCCGGAATTCTCGGAGAACACAGTTCTCCTGCAAATGCCTTTTATGAAGCGGTGTAGATCAGTTCTCCAAACGAAGGGAGAACAATCTACAAATGCTGGAAAATGGCTGCTTTTACTATAATCTCACGAGATTACAGTAAAAGATCAGTTTACTAAGCAGAGGTAAATTATCGCTGCTTAGTTTGCGGTTCCTCCGATTCTCCAGCTCTGGGCTGGAGAATCTGGAGGGAGAACACAGATCGCCAGTAAAGGGCTGAACATGTTCTCCGCTGATCTCCTGAGTGTCATAAACTGTGAATGACCAGAGAATATGAGATGTAATTTCAGACATACATAAAAATAATCTGCATACTTTAACTGGTTGCCGACCAGCCACAGTACATACAGTTGTGTTCAAAATAATAGCAGTGTGTTGAAAAAAGTGAAAGCTCAAAATCCTTCTAATAGCTTTTATTTCCATACACACAAATGCATTGGGAACATTACACATTATATTCCAAATCAAACATGAAGAAAAATATGTCAAATTTGAGTTGTTCATCTAAAAAAATTGAAGAAAAGTGAATATTAGACTGTTCAAAAAAATAGCAGTGTTTGTATTCTTCTTTACAAACTCAAACATTCACTATATAAACTGAAAAATGTTTGAAGATTTTGCTTTCCTTTGAATCACTTAATTAATATTTAGTTGTATAAGCACTGTTTCTGAGAACTGCTGTACATCTGTGTTGCATGGAGTCAACCAACTTCTGGCACCTGTGAACAGGTATTCCAGCCCAGGATGATTGGACTACATTCCACAGTTCTTCTCTATTTCTTGGTTTTGCCTCAGAAACTGCATTTTTTGTCACCCCACAAGTTTTCTATTGGATTAAGATCTGGGGATTGGGCTGGCCACTCCATAACGTCAATCTTGTTGGTCTGGAACCAAGATGTTGCACGTTTACTGGTGTGTTTGGGGTCGTTGTCTTGTTTGAACACCCATTTCAAGGGCATTTCCTCTTCAGCATAAGGCAGCATGACCTCTTCAAGTATTCTGATGTATTCAAACTGATCCATGATCCCTGGTATGCGATAAATAGGCCCAACACCGTAGTATGAGAAACATCCCCATATCATGATGCTTGCGCAATCATGCTTCACTGTCTTCACAGTGTACTGTGGCTTGAATTCAGTGTTTGGGGGTCGTCTGACAAACTGTCTCTGGCCACTAGACCCAAAAAGAACAATCTTACTTTCATCAGTCCACAAAATGTTGCGCCATTTCTCTTTAGGCCAGTCAATGTGCTCTTTGGCAAATTGTAACCTCTTCAGCACGTCTTTTTTTCAACAGCGGGACTTTGCGGGGGCTTCTTGCAGATAGCTTGGCTTCACATAGGCGTCTTCTAATTGTAACAGTACTCACAGGTAACTTTAGACCTTCTTTGATCTTCCTGGAGCTGATTGTTGGCTGAGTCCTTGCCATTTTGGCTATTCTTCTATCCATTCGAATGGTAGTTTTTCACTTTCTTCCACGTCTTTCAGGATTTGGTTGCCATTTTAAAGCATTTGCGATCATTTTAGCTGAGCAGCCTATCATTTTCTACACTTCTTTATATGTTTTCCCCTCTCCAATCAACTTTTTAATCAAGGTACGCTGTTCTTCTGAACAATGTCTGGAACGGCCCATTTTCCTCAGAATTTCAGAGAGAAATGCACTGTAACCAGCATGTACAACATTTGCTGCCTTCCTTCCTTAACCACTAGCCTACAGGGCACTTATACCCCCTTCCTGCCCAGGACAATTTCCAGCTTTCAGCGCTGTCACACTTTAAATGACAATTGCGTGGTCAAACAACACTGTACCCATATGACATTTTTATCATTTTTTTGTGACAGAGCTTTATTTTGGTGGTATTTAATCACCTCGGGGTTTTTTATTTTTTCTTAAACAAACCAAAAACCACTGAAAATTTTGAAAAAAAAAATTTTTTTCTCTTAGTTTTTGTTGTAAAATTTTGTAAATAAGTGATTTTTCTCCTTCACTGATGTGCGCTAATGAGGCTGCACTGATGGGCACTAATAGGCTGCACTGATGAGGAGGCACTGATGGGCATTGACAGGCATCACTGATGGGCACTGATAGGCAGCACTGACTGGCACTAATAGGCGGCACTGATAGGGGGGCACTGAATGGCACTGTTAGGCACTGATAGGCGGCACTGATGCACACTGATAGGCAGAACTTACTGGCACAGATAGGCGGCACTGACTGGCATTGATAGGTGGCACTGACTGGCACTGATGGGTGACACTGAAAGGCAGCTCAGATGGGCACTGATATGTGGCATTGATGTGCACTGGTAGGCACTGATATGTGGCACTGATGGGCACTGGCATGAGGCACTGATGAGCACTGACATAAGGCAGTGATGGACACTGACAGGTGGCACTGCTGGGGCTACACTGATCATCAGGGCACACTGATCATCAGTGCGCTGATGATCAGTGTACATGTCCCCTCAGCAGAAAGCCAATTACCGGCTCTGCTCTCCTCACGAGCTGTCAGCGTGACATGACTGTTGGGTCTGTTGGATTTCTATTACTCTACTACACCTGCTAGTAAATTATTTGCCATGTAGAAATATCATTTCTACCAAAAACAGTGATTGATCAGGTTAGTGATGTCTGACTGCTATTATTTTGAACACAACTGTATACTGCGGCAGGGCGGCACCGCTGCGCAAAATCACATATATAAACATAATTTTGCATATCAGGTATGGGGCGAACTCAAGGCGAGCGACCGCCCTACCTGCACCGCCGATTGCGGCCGCAGGTGTCAATCAAAGGGTCCTGGCCGGTCATTAACCGCCGGATCCCGGCGATTGCCGGCAAACAGTGACACAGAGCACAGCTGCTTTGTCAGTTCCCAGAGAGCAGAGATTAGCTTTCAGGGACAGTGTGCAACAGTGAAGTACACACCCCGCCCACTAGTAAAACACTCCCCTTACACAGTTAACCCTTTGATTGCCTAAAAAGTTAACCTCTTCCTCCCCAGTGCCATTAGTACAGTGTCAGTGTTTTTTTTTTTTTTGCACTGATCACTGTATTGGTGTCACTGGGGATGTCAGTGACCCAAAGTCAGTCCCCCCCCCCCCCCCCCAGTGTCAGAATGTCTGCCGCAGTCCCACAGTCCCACCATAAGTCGCTGATCACCGCCATTATTAGTATAAAAAAAATGAAAAATCCAGTATCTATACCACCATTTGTAGACGCTGTAACTTTCACGTAAACCAATTAATTTACACGTATTGGGATTTTATTTAGCAAAGACATGTCGTAGAATACATTTTGGCTGAAATTTATGACAAAATTTGATTTTTACATTTTTTTACTGGACATGCTTTAAAGCAAAGTCCAAAATATTTTTTTTTCTCTCAAAATTGTGGGGTTTTTTTAATAGCGCAAAAAATAAAAAACAGCACAGGCGATTAAATACCACTGAAAGAAAGCTCAATTTGCGGGCAAAAAAAAACTGTAAATTTCATTTTTTTGCAGCGTTGCATGACCGTGCAATTGTCAGTTAAAGTAACGCAGCACCATAACACAAACCGCTTCCTAACCGCCCTATAGCAGAAATACTGCTACAGGGCAGCACAGGTGCGCAAAATCACATATATATGCGTGATTCACACTCCCGTGGTTTTCACGCCACTCCCAGATAGCGTCAAATTGCCTGTCAGTACACCAGTAATCACATTTAACCCCTTGATTGCCAGGAAGATGCTCATGCACAATAAACCTCCACTGCTAGTATAGTGTCTGAACGGATCAATATCTTTGATCAGATCAGCACTATACCAGCATTCACATTAGTATAGCATCCCCAAAAATGCAGCGTTAGCGGGATCAGCCCCGGCACCTGCCAACACCTGTGTTTAGCCCCTACGATTACCCCCCCTTCTCCCCCAGCAAGTGCAGTGTCAGTAGGTCACTGTCACTTGATACATTGCACACAAAACCACAGTGATGGCAGAATCAGGCCTGATCTCTGTTAGCACTTGTCGGTAAATTTTGATGACTCTCATATGCAGCAGAGTGCCAGTACTAGTGCCGCGCTACCTTTTGGTGAACTGGCGACACCAGCGGTTTAGTACATCCTGGTCTTTCACATACCTCTTAGATTCTAAGCTCCCAGGATCAGGCCCTCCTAACCCTTTTGTATTGAACTGTATTGTCTCCTGCTATATTGTAAAGCGCTGCGCAAATTGTTGTCGCTATATTAATCCTGTATAATAATAATAATACCAGCACTGCAGTATGACTTGGCGATGTGGCGAGTCCCATAAGTGTAGTACAAGCTGGTGCGGTGGCGAGCACAAGTATTGTCAGGTTTTACGAGGGAAAAGATAGTCACGTGAAGCCCCCCAGATGCCCAGACTACATGGGGAGCAGTGGCAAGATAGCTTGGGACTTGGTGTCATCCTTTTTCCATATGGGGTACCACTTATACGTGGACAATTTTTATTCAAGCGTGCCACTATTTAGACATTTGTACAATCTTGGAACTGGCGCATGTAGCAAAGTGTGACCAAATGCGTGCCCACCATTAGAAGTGGGTGGATGCAGGGTGGTATATTCTAATGGTGGGCATACCACACACTTTTTCTGGCAGAGATTTCTTCTTTTTTTTCATTCAGTCCACAGGCTGCATACAAAAAAAAAAACAAAACATAGCATATACAGTAATATCTCGGTTTATGAATGCCTCTGTTAACGTATTTTTCGGTTTACGAATGAAAATCCATTGAAAATAATGCCTCGGTTTACAAATTTTTTACTAATTTTTTCACAATACTAAATGTATGTCAGTGCTGATTTTTAAATGCAATTGCCATCTTTTTTTTTTTATTCAGTATAGCTCACAACATTAACTGTCAGTTTCCCAGAGCTAAAGGATACTTTGTATATTTTAAGAAACTGAAAGGATACATTGTATCTTTTAGGAAACTAAAAGGAAACATTGTAAGTTTTCAGAAACTGAAAGTAAACATTGTATCTTTTAACTTGGGGAAATAAACTAAAAGAAACTTTCTCTCTTTCAGCTGGAGGGAGAAAGTAACTGCTGAATTTCTGAACTACTGTATAGTGAAGGGGAAAAAAACAGTAGTTACATTTAAAAACTGGCTCCTGACAACTGAGTGAATTGCCTGCAATTAAATTTTTTTTTTTAATTACCAGCAATTCTTTTACATTCATCTGTCAGTGGGGAACCCCGCTGACAGCTGAAATATTAACACATGGTTGTCACTACTTAAATACTGCATGAGTTAATAAAATTACTCAAGTGGTATTTTAGTAGAGTTTACTGTTTTTCTGACCGTCTGAATGGATTCATTGGTTTTCAATGCATTCCTATGGAAAACAGTGTTTCGGTTTACGACTTTTTCGCTATATGAAATGTCCTGCAGAACTAATTAAATTCGTAAACCGAGGTACTGGTACATCACTGGACTTTGAATGGTTATACCAGGATGATGCCTACAGCTGCAGGCATCATCCTGGTATAATTGTTTTCAGCCGGCGATCGGCTTTCATGTAAAAGCAATCCTAGTGGCTAATTAGCTGCAGGATTGCTTTTACAAGCAGCGGAAGATGATGTCCCCCTCCCCCACTGCCTTCTAGGGCAGTCCCGTGCCATCGGGGCAACCTAAAAAGGCAGCCGTTGTTTCTGCTAGCTGACCATAGAGCTGATTGGATACCAGAATGGTGCCAATCATCTCTATAGCCTAAGAAATCAGAAGCTACGAGCATTTCCTCACTTCAGTTTCACAGGATATAAACAGTGCCATTTGAAAATTGGGAAAGCATCTGATCATACCAATCTTAGTTTGATTAGATAATGTAAGGGCAGGGGAGATATCTAGAGTCTGATAGAACCCAGATTTCTCAAAAAAGAATATATGACAATGCCCATTGAAGAAAAAAAGAAAAATGAAGGGACAGTGTAAAAATAATTTAAAAAATCAAAATAACAAAAAAAAAAAAAAGTACCCTTGCCCCCCTGCGCACACGCGCATCTGTGTTCGTGAGCATTGACCCTGTGCCAGTATGGAAACAGCGGTTGCACCATACATGCGAGGTATCGCCACGAACGTCAGATCAAGGGCAGTAATTCTAACACTAGACCTCCTCTGTAAATCTAAAATGCTAGCTTGTAAAGGCTTTTAAATCATTGCCTATGGATATTAAAAACGTATGCAGTTTGTCGCCTTTGCACGGGGCATGTGCAGTTTTAAAGCATATCATTTTTGGTATCTATTTACTCGGCGTACCATCATCTTTCATATTTTACCAAATAATTGGCTGATATTTAGTGTTTTTGTGCATTAAAAGTAAAAAAGTGTATTTTTTCAAAAAAATTGCACTTGAAAAATTGCTGCACGAGTACTATGTGATATAAAAAATTGCAGCACCCACTATTTTATTCACTAGGGTGTTTGCTTTAAAAAAATATATCATGTTTGGGGTTTCAATTACTTTCCTAGCAAAAAATACAGATTTTTTTCATGTGAACAAAAAGTGTCAGAAAAGGCTTGGCCTTCAGGTGGTTAGAAGAGTGAGTGATGTGTGGCAAAATGCTGGGCATAAAATGCCCCACCCACCAAAAAGACCCTTTTGGAAAGTAGAAAAACTATTTGCTGAGAGGCATGTTGAATCAATAGAAGAATTTATTTTTTTACCACACATTTTTGGAAAATGACAAACAAAAAATGTTATCTAGTTTTTACACAAAATTGTCAATTAAATGATTTATTGCTCACACATGCCATGGGTATATGTGGAATTACTCCCCAAAAATACATTCTGCTACTTCTCCCGAGTATGGGGGTACCACATGTGAGATTTTGGCAGTCTAGCTAAGTACCCCAATATCCAATAAGCACCATCAGGCTTTTAAAGCGCTTTATTTCCTCATTACACTTCCAGACTACCTATCACAGTTTCGGAGGCCCTGAAATGCCAGGATAGCACCAAACCCCCCCAAATGACCCCTTTTTGGAAAGTAGACATCCCCAGGAATTTGATCAGAAGCATGGTGAGTATTTTGCAGATCTCATTTGTTGCCACAAGTTTTTGAAAATTGAAGAAAAAAAACAAAAACATTTTTTCTTTTCTTTTTTATATTTCAAAACCTTGTGAAAAAAAATGAGATCTGCAAAATACTCATCATGCCTCTTTTTAAATTCCATGGGGTGTCTACTTTCCAAAAAGGGGTAATTTGGGGGGGTTTGGTGCTATCCTGGCTTTTCAGGGCCAAGGTTCTTCTTCTGGTCAAGGTACATTCCACCAGGGGTGTCAGTGCTTCCTTGGCCATGCAGCATCAAGCATCTATTGTTCAAGTTTCTAAGACTGCTACCTGGTTATCTCCTGATTATTTTTACAAGGTAGATGTTTACATCTCTGAAAATGCCAGTTTTGGGTGGACGGTCTTGCAGTCAGTTTAGTAGGGTTCCCCCTAATCTGTTTTTTGGCAAGTTGGTCTTGTTGCCCAGCACTCATGTTTCAGAGCTTTGCGACATCCTAAGTAGTCATGAATATGAACTCCTCTGTGTTCTTGGCGCACATCACAGGATAGAGATCCCTTCCATCTTGTTTGTTCCTCATTTCTTGCTACAAAACTGAGGCTTAGCTAAGGTGGGAGTAGTTATGTTCGAGTGGGGATTCTTACCATTTTTTTTTTTGGCCAGTGTTTAATAACCTGAACATGGCATCAGAACCCAACTAGTCATGAATATGAACTTCAATGTGTCCTGGGATGTAGTCCCAGAAAAACATTTTACAGGTAAACCAAAAGTGTAATTTTGTTTTGATGCCCCAGGAAACATTTTGGCTGATTTAAACTAAATGTTGGATTGAGCTTTAACCCTTTGCCACCAAAGTAAGCCTTATGTCGGTGGTGGTAGAGGCATTTACACCTGTGTGTACACTTCGCCAACTATCAAGCAAGAAAATTAACACACTTATTGGACACAAAGTGCTAAGTGTGCATATAGAAATTGGGGTATCTTTATCCATTTACCAATCTTTGGTAATTCCTCATATTGTATTTCTATGAAAGGTAAGCTTAAATCAGACCTTTCCCCCTAAACAAAAAATGCCCTCGTGCACACAACTCTGCATGCGAATATAAAAACAGCCTAAAGTCCTATGTTGGTTCAAAAATGTATTGTGATATTTACTTTTCATGTAATCCTTCCTTTCTTTCTACAAGGCACCGATTATATAGCCAAAGCCACACAGCTTCCTCCTGAGAAGGCTACGTCACCAGTGCGTTCCAGAGAGATCTTGTTCCTAAACTGCCAATTTTTTTTTTTGTTCACATCTATGCAGGTTGATGCATTTTTCCATTGCGTTGTGTGTTTCTTGAACATGTATGACAGTTCTGTTCATGTAGTGCGACTTTACACTCTCTGTTACTCAAGTAGCATCAATGTACTGCAGGAATCTTTATGTGTCAAATTCACGTCAGGGTTAAATGTTAGAGTTTCAGGGCTAGGGTTAGAAGTTGGTGTTAAAGGCTAGATGTTAGGTTTAAGGGCTAGTGTTAAGCGCTAGGGTGAGATGTTAGGGTTAGAAATTATAGGTAAAGGGCTAGGGTTGGGGTTAAGGCTAGGGTTAGATGTTAGGGTTAAGGGCTAGTGTTGAGCGCTAGGGTGAGATGTTAGGGTTAGAAGTTATAGGTTAAGGGCTAGGGTTGGGGTTAAGGGCTAGGGTTAGATGTTAGGGTTAAGGGCTAGTGTTGAGCGCTAGGGTGAGATGTTAGGGTTAGAAGTTATAGGTTAAGGGCTAGAGTTAGATGTTAGGGTTAAGGGCTCAAAGTTAAAGGGCTTAGGTTAGAGCTAGCATTAGAGCTAGTGTTAGTGTTCTAACCCCAACAATGACCACTAACCCTAACATGCAGGACACATAAAGGTTCCTACACTACTTTGAAGCTATTTGAGTGCCAGACAGCATAAAGTCGCACTACATTATTATTATTATACAGTATTTATAAAGCGCCAACAGTTCACTCAGCGCTGTACATTACAAAGGGGGACAGAACATGCGACAGTACAGTAAAAATACAATGCGATACACGAGGGGTTTGAGGGCCCTACTCTTTCGAGCTTACAATCTAGGAGGGATGGGATGGTGGCACAGGAGGAAATAGCTGTGGGGGATGGAGTGGTAGGAAGAGTGGAGGAGGTCGGCAAATTAGCAGGGGGTGGGGTAGGCTTCCCTGAAGAGATGGGTTTTCAGAGTACGCCTAAAGGAGAAGAGAGTAGGTGATAGTCTGATGGGTTGGGGTAGGGAGTTCCAGAGGATGGGTGACACCCTGAAGAAATCTTGGAGGCGGGCATGGGAGGAGGAGGTCTTGTGAGGAGCGGAGTGGTGCGTGTTGGGTGGTACTTGGATATTAGGTCGGTGATGTAATTTGGGGCAGTATGGTGGACAGCTTTGTACGCCAGTGTTAGCAGTTTGAATTTGATCCGTTGTGCAATCGGAAGCCAGTGGAGGGATTGGCAGAGGGGGGTGGCGGAGATGGAGCGGTTGGAAAGGTGAATGAGTCTGGCTGCCGTATTCAGGATCGACTGAAGTGGGGATAGCCTGTGGCGAGGCAGGCCAGTGAGGAGGGAGTAATCGAGTCGTGATATGATGAGGGAGTGGATGAGCTGTTTAGTGGAGAAGTCACTGGAGGGTGGTGTGCGGGCTGGGGGGAAGACTAGGAGCTCGGTTTTGGAGAGGTTCAGTTTGACGAAGTGGAGCGACATCCAGTCTGATATGTCGTTCAGTAGGTTTGTGATTCGGGCGGAGACTGAACAGAACCATCACAATTTTCTTAGTAGCCCTCCCCCTCCCAAAAATAAGAATTAAAGCGGAGTTCCAGCCATTTTAGGGTTTAGTAAAAGTCAGCAGCTACAAAAACTGTAGCTGCTGACTTTTAATAAACACACACTTGCCTGTTCCGAGTCCAGCGATGCTCTCACCCGCGCCGTCCCTTCTCCCCTCCACAGTGCCAGCATCTCAACTGTGGGCATCAAGCTGTGACAGGTCATGCAGTCTCCTGGGACCTGTGAAAGCTCACAGGAGACTGCGACAGGGAAGAGAGGGCCAAACAATCAAAAACAGTTCTCCACATAAAAGGTACCAAATATGGAAGTGGGGGGAGGGGAGGCAAAGAAACGGAGCTTTTTAATGCGGGTCCATTGAAGTCTATTACCCCCGGTTCACATATATGCAGCCGCGCGGGCCGCGTTTTGCACGGGCATGACAGCTTATTCATTTGAATGGACTCCCTGTGTCCGTGACATGCAGGGAAGAAGTCCCTGCACTTCTTTTGAAAACACAGCCCGCACGGGAACCTCGGTTCCCAGTACGGTTGCATTTTACAGTGTGGGTGGCGTGCCATTAGAAGCAATGGCACCGGCCCGCGGGTTCGCATTTCTCTGTGCGGGTGGTGCGGCTGCATGGATTTTCATACGTATCCGCAGCGGCACCACCCGCACAGATGTGAACCTACGGTAACAGGCAAAATTAAATCTGCTGTGAGAAAAAAATCCCAGTCCCTTTTCAAAACACGCACAGATGAGAATTAGATCTACAGGAAACCATGTTAAATGGAATGTAGCGCATTTCTTCACAACCTGCAGTACTGCTTGTCACCAGCAGAGGGCTATAGGCTCCCAGTCTGTCTCGTCTACAAGACCTCTGCTGGTCTCCCATACAGTCTCCGTATAACCCGTGAAGTCCCGACCTAACAGAAAGAACCGACAATACGGAACTGCTACAGCCCAGTTAGCTGCCCGTGTCCATGTTCGGTACAAACACTGCCCCATAACATCCGCACGGCACGTTATACGTGACGCCACCGCCGGACATGACGCACAACGTCCAGGCTTCCAGTTGCGCCAGCCTCCCGCGTTCTTCTTAGTGTCGCAGCGTTCTCAGTGGTTGGGGGAGCGAAGAGCCACCGGAAGTCTTGCGCAATCCGAGCCCCCCCACCAGGGTCAAGCATCTGCCAATAAGCGTCGGGGATTCCTGCCTGTAGGCGTGGTAATTTCTCCCAGCTCGAGGCTTTCTTTTTACCGGCATTCCGCCCTGACGAGTGGCTGTAGAGTACGCTGGCCTTGTAAGAGCGGCGAGCTTTGGTGTGACGAGTGCGTCCCCAGTCCGGTAGGAGCCGTGTCCGCGTCCATAGGCGACTCCCTCCTCCCTCTCTGAACACTCCGACACAGGCGGGCGAGAGGCCCCGGCGCTCCCATCATGGCTGACAACGACAAGCTGGACAACCAGCGGCTGAAGAACTTCAAGAACAAAGGGCGCGACTTAGAGGTAAACCTTTTCCCGCCAGTCACTCTGCTCTGAGCCCGGCTGCGGGACACTGGCACACACAAAGGCCGGACCGCCGTGCTTCCTGGGCCCAGCTGTGACGTCGCTTAGCCCGGGCCTACCGCTGCTCGAGTGCTGTGAGGCCCGATCCCCTCCACACCAGGGCGGAGCCCGCTTCTCCAGCAGCCGCCGACCATCCATGAAGCTGATGAGTGCGGAGCGGCCCGGGGAGGGTGCGGGACTGCGGGCTGGCCTGTACTATGAGCCTCCCCCAGTGTGGAGGCAGGTGCAGCTCCTATAGATCCATCAGAGCTGGGCTACATCCTCCCCACATGTACATGAGGAGCCAGCACTGCCCTTCTCCCTACTAGCCAGTCACATCTAGTGCTGGTTTTGGAGAAGGATTTCATAAATTCCAGATCGCTTCTTTTTCATTATGTTGGGGCACACTGTGAGCTTTCCCTTCACTTCCGGTCCCCACACACAGCAGGAAGTGAGACGGAAATGTGTTCTTAAAGCAAGACTCAAGGCTATTCCTTTTTAATTAAAAGAAATCTATTATATTTACTTCATCTGTGCTATAATATTGCATAAAGCAGTCCCTTAGGCCTGTATCACACAGTCTAAAGCTTGTATTATTTTTTATTCCGGATTTATATAGCGCCAACAGTTTGCTCAGCACTTTTACAATATAATGGGAGACAATACAGTTCAATGCAAGAGGGATAGGAGGGCCTGATCCTTGGAGCTTACAATCTAGGAAGGAGGGGCTAGTGGTACAAAAGGTAGTAACTGTGGGGGGTGGACAGGTAGGAAGAGTAGAAGATTCCATTGTTTAGCTGAGGGCAGGATAGGCTTCCCTGAAGAGAGGTTTTCAGAGATCACCTAAAAGTGAGCAGAGTAGGCGATAGTCTGGTAAACTGGGGTAGAGAATTCCAGAGGATGGGGGAAGCTCTGGAGACAAGCATGGGAGGAGGAGACAAGGGAACTAGAGAGCAGGAGGTTGTGCGAGGAGCAGAGAGTACGGTTTGGGTGATATTTGTATAAAAGCAACGCAAGCTTTGATGAAGCTTTTAAAGTATCGTTCAGCTCCAGTCTGTAAATGTTGAAAACAGATCCTTTAAGCAAGCTGCTAGCAGGCTTTCAAGAAGTGCTGAAGCCTGCTAGCAGCTTATCTAAAGTGGCAATCAGCACTCCCGTTAGGATCTGTGTTCAACATTTACAAACTGGAGTTGAAAGGTACTTTAACACAGATCCTAACGGGAGTGCTGATTGCCACTTTAAACAAGCTGCTAGCATGCTTCTGCACTTTTTGAAGCTTGTTGAAAGCCTGCTGGAAGCTTGCTTAAAGTGACAATTAACACTCTTGTTAGGATCTGTGTTCAGCATTTACAGACTGGAGCTGAACAATACTGTAAAAGCTTCCTGAAAGCTCTTTAAAGGCTTTGTCATAGTTTGCTGTTCACACTGCTCATGTGCAAGCCGGAGCCCATGTGAAACAGACCTTAACTCCTCTTCTGGGGTCCCTGCTGGCACTGTCCCTTTTCTTGTGGTGCCCCATAGCAAGCCATGTGCTATGGAGTCGTCCATTTGAGCTTGCTCTGAAGCCAGGGCCTTTGCATCCAAGGGCACACACAGCTTGGCCATGACACCCCTCCCATTCTCTACTCGTAGGATTTGATCAACAGCAGTAGGGGCCTATGGTTCCCACTGCTGCTTGTGTCTCCTGTGAAACAGGGTGGAAATATGAGAGATGCTACCGACAGGGTATCAATTAATTAGTGGAGGAGATGGGTAAGGCCCCTTTCACACGAAGCGTCTTATCAGTGGTGTAGCACTTCTGCCTGTCAGCAGTAGGGTCATCGTTTTGACTCCCCATCTTGGCACTACCTGCCTGGAGTTTGCAGGTTCTGTCTGTGTGGTTTCCTCCGGATTCCTACAACAATCTAAAGACATGCCACAGGTTAATTGGCTTCTGTCTAAAAATTGGCCCTAGTCTGTGTATGTTTGAATGTGAGTTGGGGGGACCTTAGATCAGGGATCAACAAATCCCAGGTTGCTATGGCAACTAGAAATTGTGTTCTGGCGCCTGGGCTTTTGGCAGCTGCCTGCATGTGCCTCCCATTTGTCAACCACATTATAGCCAAAAGACGGCTTCAGGGTGGTCACCCAGTTCTGGGAGGGTGTCTGATGTCCTCCCAGAACTCTGTGCCCTTTCCTGTGAGCTGATCGGTAAAGTGCCAATTGCAGAGGCCCTTTACCAAGTGATCAGCTGCGTCAAATCACAGCTGATCACATGTAAACAAATTCCAATTATGGGCATTTCCTTTACTCAGCGCTGTCACAGAGCGAGTGAAGGAAAACCGATAACCGGCCCTGTGACGGGGCATTTGCTGTGATAATCGGGGCACTGATCATAAGTGCCCTATCAGTGCAGCCCCATCACCACACATTAGTGAAGAAAACAAAATGACTGCTTTACAAAATGTTATAACAGAAATGAAGAATAAGATTTTTATTTTTTTTGTCGTTTACCAACAATAAGAGGGGGAAAAAAACTGGTAATTTGATACCACCAAAATAATGCTCTATTTGTGTGTTAAAAAAAATACATATGGGTGCAGTGTTGCATGACTGCGCAATTGTCATTCAGTGTAACAGCGTTGAAAGCTTAAAATTGGACTGGACTGGGCAGGAAGGGGCTGAAAGTGTCCTTATTGGAAGATTTCCCCTCAAATTCTGACCTGGTGACAACTTAAGATTTTGTTTCATAATTTCTCTCAGTGAAAATGACCACTAAAATAAAAGGATAAGTAAACTTTGTTAAAACCATTTTGTAGTAGTTGTAACAATATATTGAACATTTGTATACAGATGTTTGGTGGTAGATATTTTCCCTTTTGTAGTGTTTTTGTGCTAATCTTTTTGCCACACTTCTTTGGACCATGTGCTAGCTGATAATAGGATAGTGTAGCTAAGTTGGCTCTATGAGCTGGAAATGTTTTCATTCTCTGAAAGCATAAACTGGTTAATGCGTTAAACTGCCCCCATGGGCAGTGCTGGTCTATCGTATTCTGACAGTGACACCCACTGTTGTCAGAATATCCAAAATAGTGGCTGCAGCCACTGTTGGCCCACTGATTTTAAGATGGGCTCCTTTGACGGACTGAAAAATACTACTTCTGTTGAGACCGTTCACGGATTAAAATTGAACCAATTCCTGTTGGATTAGCCAAGTTTTGATCAGTGAATGTTGAGTATATTTATAGTCTCCAATATTGGGCTATATTTTCTCCAGGGTGGATTTGATTTAAATCACTAGTGAAAAGGCTCGATTTAAATCATAATTTTTAAAGAGCAACTATTATCTGTCCTGCAGCGGCTCCTCTGACCTGCTATTGACTCCCTCACCGTCCCAGTCACTTAAATGGGACCGCTGGTGATGCAGCAGTGACACAATAAGGTGAGAGACATGGCGGCAGCAGGTGACATGATGGATCTAAAATGACAGGTGCTTTTTAAAAATGTAAGGAATCCGACTCATTCTTGATGGTAGTTAGAATCTTTAATATTTGCAAACCAAATGAAGGTTTCCTTTTTTAGAATAAGAAGCTGTCAGGTTAGTAAAACAGCGATATCAGAACCGATAATAGGTTAATCATACATAGTTGAACTACTCAAATTCTTTTTTTCTCATGGTTACTGTGAAATTGTGTGAATGCATCAATGCAGTGCCTGTTATCTCAGCTTGCAGAGCTTGGATTCATTGAATGAGTTTACCAAAAATGTAAAAATTGCAGAATATCATCCTCATGCTACATAACTAAGCTCCATTTCATGCTGAATAAACTAAGTTTTCTATTTAAGATACTTTAATAATTATCTTTGATAGATTTTTACTCAAAGCATTTTATTAAAATAGGTTTGATAAAAATTAAAAAATCTGATTTAAATAAAAACTTTTTTTTTTTGTTCTTTTATTATTATTTTTTTTTTAAATCGATTTTTTTATCCACCCTGATTTTCTCTATACACTAGCGGTTCTGGATGTGCATCTGACCAGTTGGATGTAAAGGAATTATTTGTATGGCTCTGTCTGCTGTCCTGAAATAATAAATAATCCTCTTATTTTGGGATATAGAATGGAATGAGGCATGTAAATAACGTCTGTTCTAAGAAGGCTTTACTGTGCTATGCATTTTGGAAGGCTTTTTGATTCCCTTAGTCCCTTCTCACCCTAACCTGTATATAGCAATTACTGACAGCATAAATAATTTTACTTATCTTTTTTTTTTTTGCTGGGGTAAAGGGGTTATTACTACATGTAGTAATTAAATGCAAATGCTATTAAAGCTCAACTCCGGGCCAATGTTGTTTAGGGAGGGGTGCTTTTACTTGATCCTCTTCTCCCCCATGGTTCAGTGGGGGACTGTCCCTTGAAGTCGTCAGGGTAAAGCAGGGCTATGAACCCTGTTTTGGTCTTGATGACATTAGGATCCTAGGGTACAGAAGCGAACAGGACCAATCTAGTTGCAGGGAGGAGCAAAGGATCGGTTAATTATATTTTAATTTATTGTTCCCCTAGACACAATGAGATATATTACTTTGTAGTGTGGGTACAGCCCAACTGCAAAGGATGATTTTTTTTTTTATGTGCCTGGTATTGGGCTTTAGGTATGCAGTTGTTCCAAATGCTGTACATGTGTTTAAAGCTCAACTCCAGCCAAAGAGCTAAATGTACAGTTAAAATGCATACACATTAAACCTGTCCTGAGATTTGCACAGCCAGTCTGCGATTGGACATTGAAGGAGCCGCAGCAGAGCCTGGGCCTAGCTTCCATCGAGGAAGAAAAAAAAATTCAACTGTGATATGCCAGGAAATCATGCAGTCTTGTACAATTATTAAGAGGTCTGCTTTAACATTCTTCTGTGGCCAGGCTATGGACAGACAAATATTTATTATCAAGCCGTAAATGAGATTTAGAGCAAGCTCTCAATGACCT